GGGAGTGACTGGTCAGCTACAGGAGTAGAACAGTCGTCGGGATGAGGCGCATGAGTGACAGTGGGGGGCGGATGATCAGCATCAAGCACATCGTCGGCCATGCGAGCCTGACGTTCGTCACGCAGCCACTCCGGTACTGCTCAAGTTTCCCAGCTATTAGGATTGATAATCGTATTCCTCTCGCGCGCGTTTCTCCAGTAATCTTAAGCTTGAGAACGCCAGCTGCCTGCGCGCGAAGCTCTTCATCATTGCCGGCGAGGATTGCATGGCCTTGGTTAGACGCCGTTGGGCGGGTTTTCGGCGTGGTGCAGAGGGTTGTGGAACAGAGCGGTAATACCCGAATTTCGTCCACTGTAACCAGACTGCCTGAGCGGGTGTTCCCATGGGTGGGTACGCCTAGATCTTAAATTCGACCTCGCCCGTTGAGGACCGTAATTATATGGAATGCTGGCTGTCGTCGGTGGCATGGTAGGCGTGACTCCCTCGCCCCTGTGAGTACGGCAAGCCGAGCACATGGTGATAGTAAGGATCTCATTGTTCGCGCACATCAGACACCGCCAACGTTGAACCGGATGTTGATTGGATGCTGTATACTCTGGGTGATGCTCAGCCTTCAGCTGTTTGAGAGCATCAGGCAGATCGGCAGATTGTTCCTGGCACTGGAGGTTGAAACGGTCGCACATCCGTTTCTCCATTGCAGAAGCAAGCTCGCGTCGTGCACGTCGACGTCGAGAGGCTTTGGCCGCCTCCGCGCGCAGCTTCGAATCTGCTCGACCTTCTGCGGGTAGATTCTCGCGTCCCCGAGCTTCCAGCTGCTGCTCGAGCGATGCCAAACTGATGTTGATGGTGTTCACCTGTCCGCTGTTCAGTAGCTTCTGCGTTCCGGTTCGCTGCGGTTGACATCGCGTCGGCGCAGTTCTGGCATCCTGACACGATGCGCGCTGAACGCCGATCACGGTCGAGCATTGTTCGGCGCGCCCAGTTTTGTTTAGCCGCCAACGTGGATTGCAGCTTGGATGTTTCCTTTCATCCGTTGAACCTCGGGCAGCTACTCCTGCGTGACTTCTTGCCGCGCATCTGGTCGACCAACGCGCGACGGTTTGGGGGCGTGCTCCTACCTGATGTCATTTGGCCCAGGTACCTCGTGGGCGATGGCGGCTGAGCCCGCGGCGCCCTGTCTCTCTATCAGCGCGCCGAGCTGCGAGACAATTCTAACGGCCTGATCAAACGGCACGCCACTTGCAAGCGAAGCAGCACATTCTACTTGGCGGCCGTCCACAACCGGACGTGGAGTGGCGACAGTAGGCGCACGTTCGGGAGGAGTTGGCGTTGGCGGTGGAGGCGGTGGAGACGCAGGAGAACGATGACGAACCCGGGGGCGAGGAGCAGCATTAATTGGAGCCGCTCGATCTGGAGCACCTCCACTTCCCGAAGCCATGATTCGGGCGAGGGCCTGTCGCCCATTGTAGCCGTCGCCCTCACTGTCGGGGCTAATCTCGTGGCTGCCTGAAGGCCCCGATCGGGTTTCATTGGGCAGGTCGCGGTAGTAGTGCAGCATTATTTATTCGCACGCAACTTCATTGTTTAGGTGTTCCGCTTTCTTCGAGCGAACAACGGTACGCTCCTCATGAACATGTAGTTGGGTTGTGCATTATTTTGAACACCGCGCCGTAGTTGAACATGTAGTTGGGTTGTGTAGTTGGGTTGAACATGTAGTTGGGTTGGATCTCCAAGGGGTTCGAACACCGCGCCGCCAACTTCAAGATGACGAAGTCGCGATGCGGTTGGCAGAGTGCAGCACCAGTTTCGCGTTCCTCGAGTACCAAAAAGCACGGCTTGTGCATCCTCATCTCCACATCCTTCCTGCGCACTGCCCTCGCAGCACCTGGGGGGGGGACCTCCCTGCAGGGCGGGCGCTACATCGCGTGTTCTTCTGCGGGGGGCATTTTGCCGCCGACCCGTTTCTTGATGTCCACGGCCTGCTGCCGCGTGTCTCCCCCCTTTTTCTTCAACTCAGCATTCCATGCCTTCTGACGGCGCCATGTGCGTTTGCGATTCGCCCGCTTGCAGTGGCATTCTCCTGGCCCAATTAGAAACTGGCATTTGCCGCATGTCCAGCTGCTCGCTCTCGAAGACATCTCGCCGCTGCCGCCGTGGAGACTGCGCGTTCCCTGAGAGGCCGAGCGCGCGCAGCTGCTCCATGTCGTCGAGCTCCGTGATGCCAAGCAGGTGATGGCCGTTTGGCCGTCGGCGTCTGCCACGAGGCGCTTGCCGCGGGCGCCCGCCAGGAGGGGGCGCCGCCGCTGCGGGGGGGCATGGCGGGGCCCTCTGCGAACGCGACCCCCCTTTCAGAAGGCCCTCTTCTGAGTTGTTCGCCCTGGGGGCTCCGGAGGTGCCTTGGCCGAACGCGGGCGCGCGCGCATGCGCGAGTGTGCCATAGCCATTGTGGGTCAAACTAGCGCGCCGCCTTGGGGGCCGCGGGCGCTCTCGGCCATGGCAGGAGGTAAGAATGAGCTCGATCCCACTCGCGAGTTGGGCTCGCAGCGGCTTGAGCCAGGCGCGAGCGAGGAGCAGGTGGTCGAACAGGAGTTCATCGCCACGGAGATGACGGACGGGGGCGGCTTCAGCCAGAAGCGGTTCAGCGGGGACGACAACGACGGCGCGGCATCCTACAAGGTGTTGAAGAGGTGGGCCAAGGCGGCGATCGTGGTGCAGAAGGCCGAGAACACCCCGGCCGAGGCGCTCGGCCCGTGGTTGTACACGATGTTGGACGGCCAGGCCGTGGATTTGGCGGACATCAACGTCGAGTCGGGCGAGGGGGTGGTGTTCGTGCGCCTCGACGAGAGATTCCCTGACAAGGTGGCAGCAGATCGTCTGGGAGAAGCCATGGAGGAGGGTTTCAGCCTTCGCATCCAGAAGCACGAGACGACGGAGGCCTACACGGACAGAGCCCAACTCGCGCGCGCCCGCTGTGCCAGGAAGGGCGTGGACCTTCCGCCCGTGGCCAGGGCCTACCTGATCCTGCGCGGCGCGAAGCTGGGCAACTTCGGCAGGGCGACGATCACGTCGGCGACGCACTGGAGCTGGCACGTGGACGAGATCTGCACGGCGATCAGGACGGCGTTCCCGGGGGCGCCCCCGGAAAGGCCCGCGCAGGCGGCGTGCGCGGTGGAGGAAGAGCTCGACGGCAGCGAGGTCAAGGAAGAGGGCGCCGAGGACGATGTCACCCAGAAGATTGACGCGATCGTCGAGGCGGCGGAGCCCGTCGAAGAGTCGGATGCAGTGGAGATCCTGGCGACCTGGAAGCAGACGCGGGTGGCCATGAACAAAGAGCGTCTGGAAAGAGGACTGAGGCCTGGGTGGAAGCCCTGGCCGGCGGGAGCAGCGCGGACCGAAGCGGCAGGATCTCGACAAATTCGGACGACGTGTGAAATGCTTCAGGTGCAAAAAGATCGGCCACGTGAGCCGGGGCTGCAAGGCGCCGCACCTGGCGCGCAGCTCGCAGATGGTGATCGCGGAGCTGGTGGAGACCCACAGCGAGGAGGTGATAGTGCAGGCAGCGCAGGAGATCGCGCAGGTGGTCTACGACCTGGACGACGAGATCAACACCATCCTGAAGGTCCACGAGGACCACGCGTTGGCGAAGCTCATCCAGGAGGAGCGGCGGCAAGGGATGGGGCACGAGATGAAGGAGGACCAGGAGGGCGACGACGCGGTGCTGGAGGTGAAGGCCATGGAGGAGGACACGGCCCTGGGCGTGACGGTCCTGGGCGCGACCCCCGTGCCGGACACGGGGTGCTTCAAGTCCCTGATCGGCGCGGAGACGCCGGCGAAGCACGAGGCGGCGACGGGCAAGAAGGCGCGATGACTGAAGGACGTGAGACAGTTGCGGTTTCGCGGCTTTGGCAACGGCGTGCAGGAGTCGATCGGTGCCGTCGAGCTGGACTGGCTGATCAAGGGCTACCAGGTGACGTTCGCGGTGTGCGTGGTGCCGGGCGCTGCCGGCATCTTGATGAGCAAGCCCGGCCTGAAGGCTCTCGGCGCGGCGATCGACCTTGAGACGGACTCCAAGTATCTGAGAAGGCTCGACATCATCACACCGTTGAATGAGACGGCCGCGGGACACTACGAGATCGACTTTCTGAATCGGGAGAAGAGCGTGCGTCGCCAGATCCATGAGTCATCAGTGCGCGTGCAGAGCGGAACGAATGATAAGGGGCCCCATCTTCGGCAATTTTCCAGTAGGGCCGGGCCGGGGCCCACAGGCCGGGAGGATGGTGACTGAGTTGTTCCCCCCACTGCGGATTGCCCCAGTCGCGGCGAGGTCAGGATTCAGAGAAGGTCGGAGCCTCGACAAGGTGAACGGCTGGGACGTGGACAATGGTGACGACTACGACGCCTTGTGGAAGCACATCCTTGAAGACCAGCCGTTCTTCGTGCATATGTGCCCTCCCTGCCAGGAGCTCTCGACCATGCAGCAGTGCATGCCGCTGGGGCGTCGGGTAGACCTGGTGCAGCACTTCGACGACGTGAGGTGGGCTGTGAGCTTGGTGCGCGTAGTCGTGGAGATGGCGATCTACCAGTTAAAGCGAGGCAGGCACTTCGTGTACGAGACTCCCCCCAGATGTGCGAGTCTCCGGGTGCCCGTGATGAGGCAGTTGAGGATGCCCAGGGAGTATGTGGGCGTCGCGAGCGTTCGCGAATTTGGCTTGAGATACCCGGAGATACCCGGACGCTCAAGTTCATGCCAAAGAGTTGGGAGTCCGCGACGTCGCCCCCAGAGGTGGCAAGAGCGGCGCACAGGAGATGCGGCGGCGGGCGCGAGCATCAGCACGCGGAAGGAACGCTGAAGTGCGGGATGAAGCGCACGATGTTTAGCCAGCGATACCCCCCGAGGCTGGCGCAGGCTATTGCGCGGGGCATGCGACGGCAGCGCCAGGTGGAGGCGCCCAGCTCCGAGTTTGGATGCTGCGCAGTGCTTGGCGAGGAGGGCGCCGAGGTGATTGAGGAGGACGCGGACGAGACGAGGGATGTCTCACGTCGGCCTCATAGTTCAATCCAATCCAGAGCAGCCTCCGAAAGCTGCACGTGCAGCTCGGGCATTGCAAGAACAACGTGTTGGTGCGACACCTTAGGCATGCACGCGCCACGGAACAGGCGATCAAGGCGGGCCACGAGTTTTATTGTCCGGAGTGTGAGGGGATGAAGTGTCCGAGGGCGGTTCGGCACAGCACCCCGGCCGAGGCGCATCTCCCCTTCAAATGCGTGAGCATGGACTGCAAGGACATGCCCGGCTCGATCGTTGGGGAGAGGATCACGTGCCTGGGCATCATCGACGAGACGAGCTCGCTGCACCAGGTAGAGCCAATGATCGGCATGACGGAGACATCGGAGAACCTCACCGAGGCGAACTCTCGGGCGCGGGCTCGCCCACATGAGGCCGAAGTGGTTGAAGGTGGACCCTCATGGGGAGCAGGTGAGCGACGAGTTTACCAGCTGGTGCGAACGTCAGGACACCGAGGTGGTGGACACCGCAGGAGGCGCGAAGGAGCAGAACTGCAAGATTGAGCACCGCAACCAGCTCTTCGAGATGATGTTGGAGGACAACAGCCGGGAGGCACAGCCCAAGACGGAGACTGAGTGGCGCGAGTGCGTGACGGAGCTGGTGCTAGTCAAGAACAGCCTCCTCTCGGCGACAGGGGCGTCACCGATGCAGATGGTGTTCGGTCACAACCCAGAGGTCCCAGGCGACCTGCTGAAGGACAACGACCCGATCGCGGCGCAGCAAGCGCGGGCGAGGACGATTGCCCGCATGAAGGTACTCATCCAGCAGGACAAGTTGGCGGCGCGGCGAGCGCTGGACTCTCGACCGAGAGTGGGGGCCAAGTACCTGCCTGGCGACATGGTAGCCGCGTGGCGCATGGTGAAGAACAAGGGCATCCCTGGGAAGCGTGCTCACCACAGATGGAGGCCAGGCATCTGCATGGGCGAGGCCGCGAGGCAGCTACTGGGTGGCGCTGCCAGGCGCGACGGTAAAAGCGTCGCCCGAGCAGACGAGACCAGCGGTGCGAGAAGAGCGATATGCGCGGCGCATGGTGGAGGCAGAGCTGAGGACCAAGATGGTGGACCTGGAGCATTACAGCGGCCAGAGGTTGGAGGACATCACAGGAGGCGAGCGACCACCTGAGGCTGCTGCGGAGGAGGCCCCTCCTCCGAGCCCCGCAGGTCCCGAGCCAGTTCATCCTGGGGACTCCCAGAGGGCTTCAGGCGAACAGGAAGCAGCTGTTCACCCTGAGGGGCTCCGAGAGGGCCTCGGCCGAACAGGAGGCAGCGGATGATGGCGAGGCGGGGCATCCACCAGAGAGACGACGCCTGCGAGGCAGGCAGACCGTGGACAAGCGGACGTTGGACGAGGCGCACATGCCTGAGGAGGGCCAGATGGTGGAGGACCGCCAGGAGCAGGAGGAGGTCAAGCGCCCCAGGCGGGGGGAGCAGACGACCGTCGACCACCAGGGCGACAACCAGGGCGCGGCCAGCGGACAGCAGGTCGGCGGGATCGCTTATCCCCCAAGTTTGCCAAGTCCGCTGCTCGTCGACTCGGCGGTCGCCCACCTGGCTGAGGAGGTGGACGAGGCCATCGTCGCGGGCGTTGTGGGCGTCCTGCTCGCGCAGGGGAGCAGGGAGATCAACTTGCAGAATGAGAGGTGGAGGTCGCTCGAGGGTCGCGTCATGATAGAGATGGCGCAAGAGACGGAGATGGGTAGCTTGGTGCGCGAGACCAAGGCCTGGAGGCCCGTAGACTCGGAGACGTTGAGGCTGCTGAAAACTCAGGTGCCGGAGCGGATCTTGCGCCCGAGACCCGTGCTGACCTTGCGTCTCGGCGATGACGGCGAGGACGAGGTCGAGTGGCGGTGCGCCCTGCAAGGCTTCAAGGACCTGGACGTCCTGGGCCTGGTGCGCGAGGGGCGGACGGCAAACCCCACCATGTCCACCAACGGGCGGGCAATGCTTCTGCAGACGCATGCATCGTGTAAGTTCGAGATGACGATCGGCGACGTGAAGTCGGCGTTCCTGGTGGCAGAGCCGGAGGCGACTACGCGATGAAGGACCACTGCCCCGAGCAGCTCTTCGAGGTGGTCAACGGGTACGGGTTGGGACACCAGTCTCAGCAGTGGTGGCGCGCGTTCGAGCGGTTCATGGTGGGGGAGCTGCAGTTTGACCAGCGCCCGATGGTCCCGTGCGTGTTCCTGCTGAGGGAGCCAGTGCCGAAGGAGAGCGCCCACCTCGTGGCCAGGGACCGGGCGTCGGTGATTCCGTGCGCCTACGGGGCCTGAGAGTGCCCAGCTCCGCGGCGAGCCGGGCGCGCTGCGCGGCATCCTCGGAGTGCATGTTGACGATCAGGTCAACGTCGGCCGTGGCCAGCTGTGGTCCAGTGCGATGAAAAAGCTGAGAGCGAGGTTTCCCTCTCGGAAATGGGTGACGGGCAGTGGGGAGTTCACGGGCTCGGTCCTCACTGAGCGAGCTGACTTCTCGATCGTCCAATCGCAGTCTGAATGTGCCAAGGGGGTCAGCCCAGCCAGAACGAGGAGATCGGCCCGACCCGACGAGGTGGCGTTGCCGTTCGAGGTGCATAACCGTATCTCGACTTCTCAGCGAGGGAATGGGCGTGCAGGTCAGACGAGGCTCGACTTGACTTGCCAGATTTCGTTTTCCCATCAGATCATGCCTAAGCCCACGGTCGGCCAGCTTAAGAGATCAAATGCATGGGTGAGGAGAGCGAAGCAGTTCCACGACATTTCGGTCACCTTCCTGAGCATCCCTCCAGAGCGTCTTCGTTTCGCGTGCCGCTCGGACTATTCATCGAAGGATCTCGACGGGGCCGGTAGGACGCAGGGCGGGTACATCATTGGTGCTACGGACCCTACAATGGCAAAAGGTATCTTGGCTCCCTGGCAACCTCTGGTTTGGAAGTCGCAGAAGGTCAAGCAGGGGTGTACGTCTACGCTGGCGTGGGAGAGCAAGCTCCTGAAGGCCTCTTTGGGACACTTGGAGTGGATCATGCGCGCTTTCGCGGTTACCCTGTACCCCATGTTCTGCCGAGAGAATCGGGACAAGTACTCGAAGAAGTTTTCGGCGATTCGTGCGATAGATTGCACGTCGGCGTTCGATCACGCGACTAAGCCGGGGGGCCCGACAGGTCTCGACGACAAGAAGGCGGCTAAAGACATCGACGCTGCCCAGGGGAGTCTCCGTAGGTTTGGCGGGGCGCTTCGATGGGGCCCAACAGAACTCATGCTGGGGGACGCGCTGACGAAGGATCGGGCGGAGGCAGTGGATGTTTTGCGAGCGTGCCTGAGAGTGTCGGCCTACCAGCTGGCTGATATGTCCGTCACCTTGTCCAGGGCTAAAGCTGAGCAAGCGGCTCGCGCTTGCCGTGCCGGTGCTACTGTTCCGCCTCCCGGGCTGGGCAATGGTGAAGTTCGAGGTGACAGGGCGCGACGACCAGGCCAGGGCTTTCATGCTCGGGTTGTCGGACGTTTACCCAGAGGAGTCGTCGGCCGCGATGTCATTGGCCAGGGTCAAAGTCAAAGTGCCTGCCTAAGCACTTGTGGCAGAAGCTCTGGCCAAGAAGGGCAACGCGCAGGTGACGTTGCAGTGCGCGGCCACCACGGGGAACGCGCAGCTGTGCACCACCGCCGCGCTGGAGGACGAGGTGCGAGAGATCCTCGCGAGGCTCGAAAAGATGTGCGTCAAGTGGCAGAGTGCTCCGCTCGACGACAAGCCGAAGCTGGAGTTGAAGTGCCCGGCGGCGGAATTCTTCCGCGTCAAGACAGAGAAGCCGATGCAGAACAAGGTGACCAAGCTGAGCGTGCCGAGCGACGAGGGCTACACCCAGGCGATGGACACGATCTTGGAGAACGTGGTGTGGTCGCTGGAGGGTTTTCCCGTCATGAGGGACCGCATCCTGGAGGTGCTGCAGCCGTTCGTCCCTGGGGCGAACCTGGCCCCCGAGGTGGGCTCTCCGTGGGACCCGGGCGCGGATTGGATGATGAGAGAAGAGGCGAAACCTGAAACGCGGTGAGGAGCACGAGAGAAAGAGAGAAGACCAGTGCGAACACGACCCCCCTTATCAGAAGGTCCTCCTCTGAGTTGTTCACCCTGAGAGCTCCGGAGGGGCTTTGGCCGAACACGGGTACGTGCGCATGCGTGAGTGTACCATAGCCACTGTGGGTCAGACTAGCGCGCCGCCATGGGGACCGCGGGCGCTCTCGGCCATAGCAGGAGGTGACAAACAGCTCGATCCCACTCGCGAGTTGGATTCGCATCCTCCCCAGCGCGCGGCCCTTAAAACGGTGGCGCGTTGCTGCCGCCGCCCGCCGTGGGTCCCCGCGCGGGCCCCGCCCGTGTGGGCAATGGCTCCCCCTCCCCATTGTTCTCCCCGTCCTCCTCCTCCTCTTCCTCCTCCTCCTCCTCTTCCTCCTCCTCCTCCTCCCCCATCCACCTCCTCCTCCTGCTCCTCCTCTTCCTCCTCCTCCTCCTCCTCCTCCTCCTCCTCCTCATCCTCATCCTCATCCCACACCTCTTACCCCTCCCCTTTCTACTCCCCCCCCTCCTCCTCCACCTTGACCTCTTCCACCAGCCCCCAAAAGGGGGAGAAGGAGGAGGAGCAGGAGGAGGAGGAGGAGGAGGAGGAGGAGGGGGAGGAAGGAGGAGGAAGAGGAGGAGGAGGAGGAGGAGGCGGAGTCGGAGGAGTCGGAGGAAAACGGAGGAGGAGGAGGAGGAGGAGGAGGAGGAGGAGGTGGGCGAGGAGGTGGAGGAAGAGGAGGAGGTGGGGGAGGAGGAGGAGGAGGAAGAGGAGGAGGAGGAGGAAGAGGAGGAGGAGGAGGAGGGAGCAGGAGGAGGAGCAGGAGGAGCAGGAGGAGGAGGAGGAAGAGAAGAGGGAAGAGGAAAAGGAGGAGGAGGAGGAGGAAGAGGAGGGAGAGAGCGCAAAGTGGTTGCCTGATGATGACATCGTGCGACCCACCGCCCTACGTGAAGAGTGGGACGACGAGAGCGGGAAAATGCCAGAGCCCATCGGCGGAGGTGTACTTTCACTTCGTCTGCTTCGGTTTCGTCGTCGCTCGTTTCGCTTGCTCTCGTTTCGCCTCTTTCGTTTCGTCTTCTTTCGTTTCGCCCGTTTTGTCGGAGCGGACGAATCGAGACGGATCATTGGCCCACCTCCGCCCACCTCCGAGAGTCCACCTCCGAGAGCACGCCGGCGCAGGAGCCGCCCCGCTGGGAGTCGCCGCCGGGCCTAGAGGCGGTCTCGCTCGCAGGCGCAGTCCGCTCCCCCCCCCCATTCGGAGGGACAACGATGCGCCAGCACAAGGGCTCGTCGACTCCCACCAGGATGCGGAGGAGGAGGAAGAGGACAAAGAGGAGGAGGGGGAGGAGGAGGAGGAGG